CCGCCCTGCCCCTCCCCTGCAACTGTACTAAGGACAATGGCTTGAATAGGGAACTCTGTTTGGGCTGGGATTAGAAATGGAAATCCTTCTTGTCCACCCCACACTATGACTCTGCAGCACTGGTGGACTGCCCCTGGACATCCCTGACCAGAGTCTTGCCCAGCCCAGAGTGCGGTTTCTTCATGCCATGCTGCTAACTGCAGCCCCCACATCCATTAACATAATAAGAGGCTCTGTCTGGCTGTCTGCGTGTCTGTCTGAATGTCTGTCCGTAATGCTTCTAGCCAGCTGTGCATCTGCCCCTGAGAGGGAGGGGCGGCACTTGGCTGGGTGGCACATGCTGCGCAGGCAAAAGTTTGCACCACTGCCCGGGAATGTTGGTGGTGGGGAATGTGCCCCAGCCATCTGAACAGCCAGGCTGCCTCCCCCTCCTTCCTGCCTGAGGGCCAGTCGGGTATCATGGTGGCCGCCCATCCTGGATGCCTCCCAGACAACCGGCAGGGACAGGGAGATGGGGGGCAGGGAGTGGGGGAGGGAAGGGAGGCAGGCAGATGCAGGCCAGGCAGACCCGAAATGGTTGTGGGAGGAAGGAGGGGATCAGGTTCAGCCTCCAAAAGAGAAGGCTGAGGGGGGATCTAGTGGCCTGTTACAAACTAGTCAGGGGGGACCAGCAGGCACTGGGGAAGTCCCTGTTCCCCCAAGCATGACCAGGAGTGACCAGGAATAATGGTCACAAGCTGGCAGAGGGTAGATTTAGGCTAGATATCAGGAGGCACGACTTCACGGCCAGGTTGGCTAGGATCTGGAACCAACTTCCAAGAGAAGTGGTGCTGGCTTCTACCCTGGGGGTCTTTAAGAGGAGGCTAGATGTACATCTTGCTGGGGTTGTTTGACCCCAGTTCTCTATCCTGTCATGGCAGGGGGTTGGACTAGATGATCTACTCAGGTCCCTTCCGACCCAACCAACTATGAAACTATGGGTGGCAGTTGGACATAAATGTGAAATGCTGTTGAAAAATCCGTAAGGGCCTCTATACACATGCTCTGGGGTGGGGAGAAGGGAGCTTTAAATAGAACTGCTCTGAGAGCCACTCTAATTAGAGCGCCCGCAGTGTCACATGTATTCAGCGTCCCACACTTCAAAATGGTGGTGGGGGTGCTTTAAGAAAACTGGTTTGAAGAGCTTTAGTTAAAGCACTGCTCCTGCCATTTTGAAACAAGGGCACAGTGAACACATGTGAGGCACAGGCTGCTGGAGTGCGCTAATTAGTGCGCTTGAGCAGACTGGCAGCAAACTCGATTAATCGAGTCTGCTCTGACACATGCCAAATACCACGCATTGGAGCAGAGGTCTGTTGCTGGTGCCCTATATTTGCATGCAGCCATTCGTCCTGCCATCCAGTGCCTGGTAGAACAGCAACATAAAGGTTTTAAAGGTTGGGTGTCAGCTGGCAGGCTTACACTCAAAAAGCTAGCATTGTGTTGAGCAGGGACATCCCCAGATTTCTTCAGGAGGCTCCTTGGTAGTGGGGCCATGTTCTGGGATGATTCCATGAGGGTTTTGCCCCATGAACCCAGCAGAAGGGCAGCTCCTTATTGGTAGCAATGGAAATAGCACATGCAGATGGCGAGTAAATTGGTGCCTGGCATGGCCAAAGAGTTCTTTGGACCACACAAAAACATGATCAAGAGTGTCCGGAAGAGTCCCCCACTGCCAGAGAGGCATGGCATGGGGGGGGGCCAAAAATAATCTATCGCTAATCCCAGCCCAAAATAAATTCCTTATTCGAGCCATTATACTTAGAGTGGTGGGCACGGGGGGCTGCAGTTAGCAGCATGGCATGAAGAAACTCCACTTTGGGCCAGACAAGTCTCTATTCAGAGATGTCCAGAAGCATCCCCTGGTGGCACAGGCACATGGTCTGGGGTGGCCCAAGAAGGATTTCTAGGTATAATCCCAGCCCAAAATCCAGTTCCCTATTCAGGTCCAGATATTTAGCACGCTGGCTGGGGTGCTGTTTGTTGGCAGCCTGGCACAGCCAAACCGTGCTTTGGACTGGGCAAGTCTCTGGTCACAGATGTTCAGGACAGTCCCCCAGTGACACAGAGGTATTCTGATGGGTGGCCCAAGTGGAATGTCTAGCCATAATCCCAGCCCGAAGCCAGTTCCTTATTCAAGCCATTACACTTAGTAGAGTGGGCATGGGGGCTGTTAGTTGGCAGCCTGGCACGGCCCAGCCGTGCTTTGGGCCGGGCAGGACTATGGTCAGGCTTCTTTGGGACAGTCCCCCAGTGGCATCACCATGAAATCTGGGGATGCCCAAGAAGTATTTTGCCCCATAATCCCATCCTAATCTGACCTTGGTTTAGGTCTCCGTACTTGATGTGGAATATTATTGTACATATTAATTAGTACATATGCGTAGCTAATGAAAATCTGTCTCTTGAGTCTAGATTAGCTTTGAAAAAGGAACCGGGAACAGGGAACCAACTTCAGCCTCATGCGGTCCTGCCCGGCAGGCAGTGGTGGGCCCCGAGGCGGCGGCTCGCCCTGGCCTGGGTCTCCCGCGCCGGGCGGAGGACACAGTTCCGTCGGGCCGGGGCCGGGGCCGGGTGCCGCGGCGTCAACACCAGCTGCTTCGTCCCGGCTCCGGGGGCTGCGCCGCG